TGGTAGTAAAAAATTAGCTCCTCAAATTGCTAAGTACATAGATGATTGTTTTAAAATCAGGGAGAACAACCTGAAAAAAGTACTACCAGCTGCCTCAAAATGAATAAAAAACATTTACTTTCATTTATTATATTTTATTAATACCTTTGTTTTATACTCTATTAATCTCATTTAATTTTTTTTTTTTTTTCATTGCTATACCTTTATTGTATTCTTCAATCAAAGTCCCATAGAGGATATGATAACAATAAAGATGATTATTATTATTACACATTGCACACACCTACTTCACCTTCAATTGAGTCCCTAAGTTACAAAATTAACAAATCATAGACATGGTGCTGTCAAGATGGAAAACATTGACACATACACATTGCACACATCGAGTTTAGATGGCATCAAGTGACAAAGTCAACATGTGATAGCAACTGTACAAAGGGTTCATATGTTTTTTTATACTGAACATCATTAAAACAACATTTTTTGTTCTATTGCAATAACTGTAAATTGACACAATCATGCACAAGAAGAAATAGTGTTGACTGACCAAATGTCATTGGTAAACACATGTACCAAGGTGTAGAGAGACCTGTACTTACAGTTTGGGGATTTCTTTTGGGGCAGCAAACCCATGCCATAAGATATTCCTAATATTGAGACTAGTAGGTGGACCTATCATTACATGTAAACAAAATATCTGAAAAAGATATCAAAGGTCTTGATCAAAATTTTGAACAAAAAATATGTGAGTTTAATTTTTGAATTTAAACAAATTGACTCAGGTGCTTATAAAGCATGAAAACTCAATGAAACTTTCTATTTATAAACAGATCGCCAAAATTTTGGTTCAACAATTTAAAAATTTTGAAAGCTTTTATTTCTCAGAGTTCAGATTATATTGAAAATAATATATTTCTAGAAATCTCATTAGGTTAAAAGTAACAAAGAAACAAATACAAATTTACATTTATCTACATTACATTAATTATTCATTTATCTCTTATTTTGAGATATGTATTTATTTACAGTATTTTTAGTATTTCCTTTTATTTTCATTTTTTTTATTATTATTACATGTATTTGACTTTATTGTATTTCATGTCAAGATCTCAAATGGGATACGATAGCAATAAAGATTTACTTACTTACTATAATAAGGCTGCCAATCAGAAAATAGTACATAGTGTTAGTTTGAGAATGAGATTTGTCTAATGAATATGATATTTCATAATGGCCTTTACTGCTGCTAGGTGATCGTGAAACCAGGGATACAAAAATGACTACAGCTACACGTCTTAGATTAAGATTACAAACTAACATTTTAACAATCTCATAAACAAGCAGCAGCTGATATAGATCAACTGTTTCAAATGAATAATGAGAAGAGAATATAAATTTAATCAGACTACCATTTTGAAGAAAATTTTAGTTATTGACACTAAATTCAAATTAATCTGATAGAGGAAGGAATCAAATTAATCTGACAATGGTCCATATAAAATATCAATAATTGAGTTAGTTTTAAGGACTAAAATTATTGTCATGAAAATCAAATCTGTGAAGTCAACCCAAAGCACCTACATATAAAATATCAAGGCGAGCCATTTTCAATAAGAAGTCAAAAATAGCACTTTAACTAAAATTAGAGAATATACATTGTAGGGTATTGCCACAAAAAATGAACCTGGCTAAGGTCCCACAAAAAGTATCTACATATAAAATATCAAAACAATTGAAAAGCCATTTTTAACAAAATTATTCATCCAAATTGGCTCTTTTTGATGTCGCTCGGAACTGAATTTTAGCAGTAATTTACTTCAGCAATAATTTGGATACAAAGTACATGTACGGTAAAACAATAGAAAATCAGTCCTTTGCTAATTTAAAGTCAATTAGAGGGTAGAAATACTCACAGCTATTGGTCCAAATACTTCTTGTAACTCTGAGGTTGATAACAGATCTTTGAGTAGAAATGGACATGGTGTCTTCTTCAACAGATATATCTACAAACAAAATGGGCATGCTTAGACATCATGCTTTATAAATTAGCATAGTTCTGTAAATTTACAACTTTTTTACACTGCTAGTTGTCATGTGTTATTCATGGAATCAATATCCACTAATCTTTGGTTTGTGGATAATACTACGGCACTGTAATTGCCCACTACACTGCCCAACCAATACTTTACCCAGGGGCATGTTTTGGCAGGTGTCAATTTTTTTACAAGTCACAAAAAATGTCCAGTGCAGATCAATATTTATTTTGTATTCTAATTGAGGCATCATTTTTCAAACTTTTCACTCTTTCCTGATGCCAAAATTAGAGTCTAGTTTAAGGTTTTTCATAGTCACTGATGAGCAGTTAACACCATAAAAACTGTTAAATTTATATTTATATCTTTCAAAAATTACTAATTTCCTGAGGCCTAGAGTATTTACGCTAAGTTATGTGTACTCACTGAATCATATCCAAGAATGTGATGTTCATGACTAGCATGAACGGATAAACTTAATTTCACTGTCACGTATGAAAAGTGTAAAATACTTTTTCAATGATCAGTATATCTCTAGAAAATCACTTTTGCCATTTGATGCTATTATATTCAAAAATTCCTAAATAAGTTAAGCTGGCTGCACCCAGCACTCTGATTGGTTAACAACCAGCATGATTTATAAGGTCAAATGATGCAGTTTCACTCGTGCATAAAACAAACATTGGTACCATTTTGCATTGAATATTTGCTTGTGGCAAAAATGTTTGCTGACAAGTAGGATGAAAACAAGTTGAATTTTCTTGCATTACATATCAATCAACAAACTGACATTTAGTAACCTATTCTAATCACAACAGAGTAATAATCAACATTTGTAATAACTCAAAAACAAGTAAGTTATTCGCCTGTGAAATAGCCTGATCAGTTAACGTCCCTGTGATTGTTTGCTAGTAATAGTGAACAAATGCTTTTTTTTTTTTTTTGAATGATATTCCATATTATTTGTTATCACAAGAGAATACAAACTTGTTTGAACTGTTTGAGACACATTTTTTGAATGATATTCCATATTTTATCACTCAATGCCTAAATTAGAATACTGATGAGAGTGTTTTTGATACCTTGCACCCCCATCTTGATTATTGTATTTAGGCAATAACAGATTGAAATGAAAATTAGTAAAAAGATCACCTAGCACTCGCCCAAAAATGTGACACCTTCTCTAAGACTATGTCCAGGATGAGGTATCAGACAAAGACATCATAAGTTCTATAATAAAGTGATATCAGATGATAACTTAATAATAGCTAAAACTATTATACTTACATCTCCAAGTGCTCTTTCCAAAGCTGCAGTACACAGCAATATACATAATATATTATCAACTGTATTTTCTGATTGAATAAGCTTAAAACATTCAATAAATATCTGTACAAAAAAATGAACAAAAGTGCTGTCATGTATGCAGTGCATTCTATAAATATATAATCACTAATTGTTATTACCGGAAGTCTTAATGTCGGAGTTCCCAAACACATCCTATGCATACTGACAAACCAGAAATATAGTGATCCAACCATGTACGCCCACAGTGAAAATGGATTAAATTTTCTTCTTTACAAATAACTGAGGTGACGCAAGAGGTAATTGATCCAGCAGACAAAAAAATTATGCCCACAATATTCAATAAATACACAAATAACATTCTGTAACAACAACAGCACTAGTGAAAAAATCCACTCAAAAAATGATTTTCAGAATGGCTTAGGAATAAGACCCCCCAATTAAAATTCTTTATCATTATACAAGGCAGTTATGAAGATAACCATTTTTTTCAGATTACCTGGTATATTACATGTAACAAAAAATAAGCAATAAACACAATTTTTATCAAAAGATTGCATTTAAAAATATCAATTTTGGAAAACAAAATTTGATTAAAAACTTTTTTACTGAGACTTAACATAATTATAGTTTAACATATGTTATCATTCATGTTAGCATGTTATCAGATTTCAATGATATAATGCATGTAGTTAAAACCAAATACCCAGTGGTATTGTACCTGTGCCTGTCCAGTCCACTTCAACTGGTCACCATATTGTACAATAAATTGTTGTTCAGATAACTGTGAGATATGTATATCAACATGATAACAGACTGGCAGCAAACTGACCACATACAGTTTGTATTTTCCTTCTATTAGTGACAGATCTACAATTAATTCACAAAACAATGAACTTTAAATATTTTTTGAAATGAACGAGGGCATTTTTATTTGAAAAAAATAATCAATTTTGTAAAATGACTGGTTATCACCATTTTTTGTTTTGTTACAATTAATGCATGGGTTACTTACTTACCTATGTCTTTGAGCACAGTTTCTTTTATTTCCCCCCAATCCAATAATCCATCTTTTCGAAGACAGTTGTCATAATCACGTGACCAACTCTCTTTCTTCATCATTTGCTCCTCCCATACTTCACAAATAAGATGATACACATCTTTGGATAAACATGAACCCTGTAAGTCCATAATCACTGTTCGTATATTTTGTAATTCATTAGGTCACAATTTTACAGGTAGTGTTCAAGTTCAACAAACTTTTAGACCCAGCCCACTTTCGAGTCAAAATTTCACGGTCATTTTACAAGTTGGTTGCCCGTGGCATAGTGGATAGCTTTACAGCTCATCGAAATATAAATATCAAACCGAAACATACCGTGTATACACTAGGCGAACAATTCGGTACCGTATTTAGTATTACATGTAATTAATTTGTCTGTGTTTTGTCGTCTTCTAAAATCAAAACATCCGCCATTAAGTCGCCATTTTGTCGCAAAGTAGTGTGGGAGCTTCAGCCTATGCCATTTTTATTGTAGGGGGTATTTGATTTCTATTACTTGTCTAATATATTCCTATCAGTTTCACTCCAATGTAATTTATATTTACAAAACTTAAATTTACCAGTTAATAAACTAGTTGAAGTAGTAGTGGCCATAGTTTTATGCAACAGTTGCCAATACTTCACAAAATACATGGAAGTGATGACTTCCCTGGCAATGTAATGAGTCCAAACTCGCCATTTTGAAATACTTGCAAGACGAGCAAAGATGTTACATTGACGAAAACCTAATCATGGGCTATCATACCATTTTGTACAGTTTTTATACACGAGAAGGTAATTCTAAGACTTCGCTGATTTCTTAAGAATAATTGTTAGCACTCAGAGACCGTTTGTGAGGTCATTCGACTGTGAGTATGAAACTTATCTCGTCTGTCTATCAAGGAAGTGAAGGTTGTTGATTCTGTTCACCTGGAAACGGGTGATCACCTCTCAGCTGTTCCGAATAGTGTTCGTGCGGTCCCACTGGGAAAGAGTCTCGTCTTCAGTTGACACATTTGATATTTCTGCTTTAATTTGTCGATGACGTTTTCCCTATATTATCTATCCACTCTAGATGCGTGGTTTTATACTAATGCATATTTCGCTATGGGTTTTTCTCCATCATCCATTTTCTACATCATGTGGTCCCTTGTGTAATGTATTAATTAATTATTAATATATAATATTGTTTACGTATATAATATTGCATCTTATTTCTTGTTTACTTTTAAGCAGAAATACTAAATTGAACACAATTTCATGACCACGAATCTGTGTCAGTTACTTATCTGTAGATATGAGGCGACTGAAATTGAAATTTGTTACATGTGTCTCCAGGACAACTCTACAAGTTCTGTAGTATTTTAATTCAGAATGTTTGGCATGACTCCAAACTATCTAGGCAACACATTCAAAATACTGAATGTACAAAAGGTCTATAGTGATGATGTTGATTATAAGGCCAATAAAATTATAAAACTAAATATATATAACTGACATTAAAACTAAATGATGTGTTCTCACTAAAAGTGTTTGAGTTAATGATCTTAGTCATCCATCATAATAATAATAATGCATTTTTTTCCTCTTTTCACAGATGAGGATTTATTAGAATAGTATACAGATAACAAATAAACAAACATCATCATGGGAAACGGGGTGCCATTACTGAATGATTATAAGCAAGAATTTTTTTGGAAGAGATTTCCGCAGACAGTGCTTGGAGGTCCCAAGCTACGGCTTGGCTATGATGCTCCTGTGTATGTGTATACTAATCAAGTGGTCATATTTCTTATACCATGGATTATTGGTGGACTGCTCTCATTATTTGTTGAGCTTGACTTTTTGAAAGATTATGCCGGTTCTGCTGTTTTCGCTGCAATTATGTTCATTTACGTACTGCTTATCCAACTGATTAGTTTAGGAATACGAAGTAAACAGTCATCGGTGATAAAAATCACTAATCAAAATATTCTAGCAGAGGATGATGAAATTGATTTTGAGAGCTGCTGTGGAGTGGAAACCTTAGAATTTATTATTCCTGGGAAGAAATTCAAAGTGAATGTTTTTTTCCATGCTTTATTCTCTGCTGTTATGTGTGGTATTGGGCTGTGGTATCTACTGCCATCTACGAGTAATGCTTTATACAATAACACTGCAGTAACTGTAATCCTCTTCATTTTCGGTTGGATTACATTATGTATTGCACAATATTCATTAACTGTTGCACCACCGCCTGAACCGGCTGTGTTTCGTACAACTGATCCGTATGAAATTACACCACTAATGAGGCCGTTCTATGTATTCCTGTTTGAAGTAGTCTTTTTAGTAGCCATGTAAGTATCATGCTGTGTTTATGATTACAATTCAACTAATTATTTTTTGTGTCAGCCAAGCTGTTATATGTCAGCTGGCCAGCAATTATTTTTAATGACGCTCACTACTGACCTATGAATGGAAATCATTATTTACCTTCTAATTGCTGATTTGTTCTGATATGTGTATCCAAAGTACATGTAGTCAGTTGTACAAAAATTATCTAGGGTTTCGTTCATCCATTGATGGATCTGAATTCTAAGATTGCTGAATTTACCAATATTTTCTTTGCTTAAGCCCCCCAAAAAAATATTAACTAAAAATTATCATTGCATAGAATATTTTAAAATTTCAATGCTATTTAACTTTTTCTTTGTTGTTTTTAAATGTTTAATTCTTTTCACCTGTACATGTTTGTTTTGTATACATCATAGGTTCTATTCTGACTTCTACATGGTAGACTGGGTTTTACATATCCTATTCCCCATTTTACCAGTGTTCTGGATTTTGGGGTGCCTACCACCTGTTGATGCTCTGTTGTCATGGACATGTGAACAAATACTAATATTCTTATTAGGAGGCACTGCTATGGCAAATGATTTAAGGTGAGCTACTAGTATTGTGTTTTTTTATGCCACCCTTACTTATCTACCATATTTGCTCTATTAGTAACTCATGCACTTATGTAAATGACTTAACATAAGTTAAGCCTGGTCAAAATATGTATGTATGGTCAAAAGAATTAATATTTTAATAATCCTAACCATAATAAATACAATACTCACAAAAGTTATGAAAATTTATTTCTCGTGAAATTAAAGTGGCTTTATTTTATTAGACTTGTTTAAGCTCAACTATTATTCACAACTTTTATTAATTGAAAATCAATCTAAGCCTTTTCCCAAACTCCATGTGGACACTGTATTCATACTGTATATACTGTTGGTAAAAAATGGCTCTAGCATTTTGTATCACATTTGCATATTGCTGTAGTACATTTAAGCAATAATCCCTTTCCGAAGGTATACAAGGTATACAACGAGATATTGCACAATTCACGACATGCGGCTCGTGCATATATGGAGTGAATTGTGCAATATCAAGTGGTATACCCAACTTCGGCTGGGGGTTATTGCTATTATATTATACCAGTATATTGACAATTCGATAAAACTAGTAAAAAATTAGTTTACTTTCATCTACTAAAAGATCATGATTATGGCCCTTGAACATGAATATTTATAAGAATAGTATGTAGTTGTACGCTGAATGCATACAAAAATTACATGCGCAACACAGTTCAAATTGAATACATGTACAAACTAATATTTATTCCACATGAAAAAGAAACGTATCCACGGTGAATAGAGCAGCGTAAACACACAAATTAGCATAACAAAAGATGACCTTTCTGACCTTTTACTGACTGCGTCAACGCGATTTGAAATACAGGGTCGTGTACAGTTTGGATTATTAAAACAACGGATTTTTTACGTTTTCATTCTGGTTTTTGTACAATTTGGATTGTAATTTGCCCATATATAACCAAAGTTTTGTGACAATATGACTGACAAGTTTTGTCATTGTTCTGGGGTAAGTTTGATGGTGTAAGATCGGATTCTCGCATCGTTTTTGTGACACGTACATGATATGCCTTGTCTCAACTCCGGCCGAAAGAAAGACTTTGCACGCTGTCACTCTAATACAGTGGTTGGTGTACACTCGGCACAAATCTGCAGCTTTCAAAATTACCTTCATCATGTCCTGTAATTTATTTACCCATAGTGGAGAATTACAATACCCCATATATCGTCGTTGAATCCTGCGTTGTCCTGTGTTCTTTGAAACAGATGGCAATTACCCGGGTGTAATTTCACTGCAATTTTGTCAGCTAGAATTCACACTCCGCTACGGGACACCGGTTGTTATTGGTGGCATACATTTTTGCCTGTGACTCATAGTTTTTTGCATTTTTTTGTCCTTCAATCCCTCAATCTTATCTAGTACTTAAAGATCATGTTTTCTTTGTTGGAGGTTCGCAATCCATCTCAAAGTCACAACACGGAGAACACAGCGTTCTGGCGTTTGTTTAGGCACCTCACGGTGTTGAGGGACGGTGGTTTAGGTTTGTGTGGCGAACGACAATCACCCAACGACCGACGCTCACAACTTGGATCCCACCATTAACAAAAAGCAATATTATGGTTATATAACTTTTCAGATGTTTTTAATTCAGTATTTTTTTCAATATTCTTCCAAAATTCAATCACTATATTTCCCTAAAAATCAAATTATACCGGTTTTATGTATTTCCGTATTAAACCTGTAGTCAATTCATGTCCGGGGCCACTTAGCCGTGCATTATCAGCTAATATACCATGGATTGCATATGCAAATTTTGTGTTTGAACCAATCAAATCAATGGATTAACACCATCAATATACTGGTATAATATAATGTAGCATTTTTTTTTAATGATATAAATAATTAATTATATACACTAACAAGTTGAACATACTAAATATTTTATTCAGACAGTGTATACTCATTATGAATATATATACTGGGAAATAGAATTTTTAATCAATACTTTTTCAGGTGTTAACCTACAAAACTTCTAATGTTTCTGATAACCTTCATTATTCATTTCTACCCCATGGGACTGTACCATTTATCTAATTAGTGGATTTGCTGAATATTTGTGGATATATTTTATGTATTACTTTAAAGTATTGTTCTCATTCTTTTTTTCACAGACTGTTTTGTATGTTCCTTGTCTCAATCACAGTGTTTGTGATTGTATTTCTCATTGCATTTTATACCAACAATACAATGGCGATAGTTTTGACGGCAGCCTGCACAGGATACTTACTGAGTCTGGATCTGCCAAACCTGGCTAGTCAGTTGATATCAAAGTGTAGAAAAAGACCTACCATCGAACACAAACCTGTAGGTTTTGGATGGAGTACAGGTTGGAAGGAGTGTCTTGTATATTTTGGAATGTTTTTAGTTGTTGGTGCCATCAGTGGTGTGTGTTCTAACAGCATCAGTAGTTCCAACACGAGTATATATAATGCCTTGGGCTATGCCATAATGGGATTATTGGTATTGGCTAAGCTATTAACAGATGCCCAGCTTGTGTTTGTTGGATTTGGATTATGTAGAAATCCATTGTACCCATCAAGTACTCAGAGTATGGTGCCATACCAAAAGAGGAAAAAGGTCTTACATGGAGTAGGTTATATTAGAAGAATTATTTTAGATGCAGGTGTGTATATAAAGCTATAATTCTTTACATATGTCTATATGTACCATACATTAATACAATTAAACGCCTTTATAGGTTGATTGAGCCACCTGTGGCTGGTGAATTATGCTATAGCTTAGAAGTTTGGGGGTTGGTAGTCATCAATTGAGATTACATTGTATAATTGAGATTATGATACAAGTTATTCTTTGAGTTATGCTTCAACACAGATACTGTCTCTTCATTAACATGTAGTCCAGTATAATGTCTTAAAGCTTGTTCAGACTGAGAGATACACATGTATTGTATGTAAAATTATCACCTGACTGTTCAGTATATAAATATGAAGTTATGTATGATGGCATGTGGAACTACAGCTGTCAAGATGTACAAGAGCTGGGGAAGAGTCTTTCTCTATACATGTATTGCCCTTGTAGCAACAAATTCTTGTCATATGAGCATAACAATGTACAATTGTTTTATATTTTTAGTTGGTCCATTGGTGATGGTAGCATATTTATCATTATTTATGATTCCAAGTACCAGCTCCATTAATACTTTTAGTTTATCTCTTGCTACAGTCAGAGCACTGAGATGGGTAAGTCTTGTTTAAACATTACTGGGTTTACCACATTGACAATCATAGCAATGAATACCACCCATAATATTTGTGTAACCTTCCATGTGTTAATTAATATCAGAAAACTCACATCCAATTAAGAAGTTCACCAATAATTATGATTTCTATAATTGAAATAACTACCGGTATCATATCAATAATTACAATTATACATGCATTCTGCGTATATTCTTATGTAATCAGATAGAGTCTCCTATTCTCTTGCAGTGTTGGCAGAGTACAACGCACTCTCTGCTAGAAATCTCTATTGTTCATCTTATCAACATGGCAGTTGGTGTAACAACTGGTTGGTGGTACGATCTTGGAATGGGATTACAGCTTTTGTTAATTGGACTGATTCGTGATCGTTTCTATCAGCTGTTGGATCAGCTCTATTTCATATTTGCTGTACTTATTACATCATACTCAGAAAAGAAGCAAAGACGTTCTTCCACCATTCCTATGATCATTGTATCTCTGTGCATATTTCCTATTATTCTGGCAGTCATGTTTACATGTGTTGCACTATCAGCACCTCTCTTACCGCTATTTACATTACCTGTATTCATACTTGGTTTTCCTCGTCCATTGAGGTCTTGGCCAGGACCTGTAGGCTCTTCTGCTAATATTTGCCCGGATACAGTATATTATCAACAAGTAACACCCCAGCTTGTATCATCTTTAAGAATGTCAATTGCAAGTGGTAGCCTAGGTGAGTGACTTAATTATTAAACATAGGTTGGTAATATTTTATTTTTGATTCAATATGTATGGACATCACTTATGATGGCTTTAAATCCATATATATACAGTAAAAGCTTTATTTCACAGCTTTTTCTCTAAATTCACCAATTGTCAGTAAAACAATGTGTGTGTTTTGTTTCAATAACTTTGCGTCTTTAATTCTGTTTTGAGTGTGAGCTAAGCAATTATCCTTGAAGTATGTACCACTAATACTATGCGGGAAACAATTCACAATTCTTCTGTGTATTCAAGACTATTGATAATCATAATAAAAAATAATAATAAAACATAATATAGATATCTACAATCGCTAAACAAAGAATCCTGTGTGTAATTCAGTGATGGTGATACCCTAACTGTCGCATTTATTGTAGTAACCATATTGTTTTACATGTCAAGTTTGGAAAATATGGCTCTTTATGAAAGCTGTGTACAGAAATTATTGTATTTACAGTAGTGCTATTTGTACATTTTCTGCAGGCGATGTGAACAGTGGATGTCACTATCTACTCAGATTTCAAGATCGCATGGTGTGGCTGCAGGTATTAGAAAAAGGATATGGCTATTGTACTTTTTCTGTGAAAGGTTTAGAGATGCAAGAGACGTCATGCCACACCGTAGAAGCAGGCAGAGTTGATGAAATATTTGAAACTGCATTTGATAATGAAAGAGGCGGTGCATGTTATCTCAACAGTTATCCTTTTCATACGCTGACAGCTTTAGATGCAGTACCAGTTAACACATACTCCGATGCCAGGAATGTACTCACTGGTATTATTGACTCACGGGAAACTTTAGCTAATGTTGGCAAGTGCTTTCTACAGAGTCTAGTTTGGGTCATGCTCCATCATAATGTGCAGAAGAGTCAGAAGAGACAGGATACACAGAATGGTACAGCAGTTGAGAAGCATGATACAAGTCAAACCTCTCTAGTCCATCACGTGAACACCCCTGACACAGTCCCGGATACATGGACAAGCAGAAAAGACAGTGGTAAACCAGAGAGTGTTAAAACCAGACCCCAGTCTAGGGCCAAGTCAGTAAAATCATGGAATTCCTCGTTTGGTAGTTTAGATAGCTGGGCAGATGACAATGATTCTTTAGCTTTAGATACCATAGGTGACAAAACTAAAAAAGTAAATCTTCTTGGTGGCCTGGAAACACACAAAAAAGAACCTACGCGAAAAGAAGCAGAACTTCCAGGGTTACTCACCAATCTGAATGATGACGACAACATGGATGATCTGTTTAAAGAACTTGATTTTGGTATGCCAGCAATTGATAAAAGTATTGCCCAAAAACAACAACACAGTTTTGGACTTCCAGCTTTGCATTCCAATAGTGGTATTAAGTTAGCTGGGTCTATACAGTTCAGTTCACCATATTCATCAAAACTAAGTCTCCCTCTGAAGTGGAGAGAAATACCCATAGAAAGCAACAGAATAGCGTCGTTGCTGAAGGACTTTCCACAAGATTGGTTTAAGCATGTGCTGACATTACTAGATTTATCAACCAGCAACAAGTCGTCATCAGAAGTTGCTGCGGACATTGCAAATGACAGTGTGCTGTCCGATACTTACAGACAATTAGTCATGGCATGCTATGCAGTGGTAAATGTATTTGGATTGACAGGGACTGATGCAGTGTCAATGGGAGCTAGTCATGTCTATAGAACATATACTGGTGATGTGCCATGGTCACCTAGTTTAGATTGGTTGACTGAAGATAGTGAACTTTTAGAACTGGTGCTTAAAGCTTACAGGTGAGAATCATCATAGAGTCAACTTTGACCAATCCTTACAAAGAAATTTTTTTATATGTAAATCACATATTTATTTTGACTAAAGATTGCTCACATTTGATTATACTGGTAATTATTATTCCAGGTTTGGTTTTAAGTTGGCTTATGATCAAGCAGTATTGGGTGAGATTGAAGGGACAGATGAATTGGTTGAATATTTACAAGAGTATGAAAATGATTGGTACATTGGATGTGAGAAAGACAAGGAGTGGAGCAGTGGAGTCCTTCAGGGAAAAAACAATTTATTTTCTCTCATGTACGACCCAGTAGATGTGAGTACTGTATAGTATACTTTTTGAAATCTGGTCACCTACTTATATAACATCCATTATATGTTAGTTGCTTTTTATTAATATATCTTACTTAATTCATCATCCGGTGCGATTCTTAGTTATAGTTATTCTCTGATTTTATGAGCAGCCCACTTGGTGTGTTGGGTTGCGTAAAACCTAAGAGTTCTTTAAGTAATATTTAATCTGCAATATTTAGAGTTGAACCTTTTTCTTGTCCTCCCCCAGGGTGTTTACAATGGTAGAGTATTATCAAAACAACCTGTGATGGCATACGTAGGGAGGTTAAATGCTGAAGTTATACGTGGTTATTGGGCATCTCTATCTCAAGAACTATTCTACTACACCAATGATGATGAAGAGAGATACAGCATCCAGGCACATCCTGTATTACTACGCAATCTCACTGTACAGTCAGCTGATCCACCTTTAGGATACCCCATCTATGCATCACCACCAATATCTATTCCTACTTTGTAATATATATATATATATATATATATATATGTGGTTTCATGTGCCTCAACTGTTACATACCAACATACCATGTGTGTTCTGATTCTTGAAATGTTATTCACTGGAAATACACTGCTAACTTTAAAGTGACATCAAAATTGAAAATCTTTATAATTGCTACACAATTCCATCAATCTTAGTACCATCCACATAAAATATACATTTTTAAAAACACTCCTTATTTCTATTTTGTGTCTTTAGACAGAAAACAGTTTTCCTTCCAAGTTCCCTTGGCAGTTTTTTGTGTCCAAACTAGATTTAAATATATTTACCATTTACATTTGTATATTATTTTATACAGACCATAATATCTTACCTTGTCAGCAGAAATCAGCATTCTGGAAAACTCACTGAGGTTTTACGCCTTATTGCTAAATAAATGACAAATTTTCAAGATGTTGATTATGCAAGCTCCCAGCTATGCCCATAGTACAAGAATAGCTTTTACCTATTTGGAATCAAAACTTTTCTGCATGGTCATTCTTCAAATACAGCACCATTTAAACAGAGTTTCTGTTATTCAAGAGTGAACAATGATTTTAACAAAAGACAGTGAATTTAATTTTCAGTCTAAAACCCCAAAAATATACAAGATTGAAATTACTTAGATGTGCCAGCACTATACCGGTATATTTATGCATATATATAGTTTATTTTGTGAATAACCTTTTTTATAAATATTTCACTTCACTTTATTATTTGTAAATGCCCTTGAGTATACTGTATATACTATGTGTGTATGTATATATTATTTATATAGTGTCTTTACTGTAAAATATAATACAATTTTAAGTAAGAAGAGAATGTAATTTATTATAGTACATGTGTAAATATTGCCGATGTGCCTTGAATTGCAAGCTGTTTATTATATGTATATATTTGAACTGATGTAGTCTGGTTTCAATGCTTTGTTTCCGTCCTTGTTAACTGTGATGAAAACAGCATTTACAGTGCTGTTGAATTAATAAAACCTTGGTATTTAATAATCATTGTGGTATATGTATAGTTTTATTTATTATAGTACATGTGTAAATATTGCCGATGTGCCTTGAATTGCAAGCTGTTTATTATATGTATATATTTGAACTGATGTAGTCTGGTTTCAATGCTTTGTTTCTGTCCTTGTTAACTGTGATGAAAACAGCATTTACAGTGCTGTTGAATTAATAAAACCTTGGTATTTAATAATCATTGTGGTATATGTATAGTTTTAGGGTTGAACCAATTTTTGCAATGCCAGTAGTTCGTGTCTGTGTTTTAAAATTGGGGCATTAGCTAAGTTTCATATTGACTAGTTCTGAGTTGTATGCTTACTAATCACACTTGGGAATTAAGCCAAAGGTGTCTGGGATAGCAGAGGTAGAAAAATAGCTTTTTACGTTTTTATACAAGTATTACATGCCTGGGTAATTTTTACTTATCGACTGACCTGTGCATGCATTATCTCTGACATGCTTCGACTGATTATGTTCAAATTTTATATATTAATTATACATCATGTCATAGATATACAGATATATTGAGGTATGTATTGGTCTGATGAGCTGATTCAAAATGACCAAATGGTTGCCATTTTTTGCGCTAAAAATCATCAAAAATCAAGCATTTCTGGTATTCTGGAACCGATGAATTTTGTTAAAACTTGGTTACATACATTATGGGTCTCTGATGCATGTCATTTTGTTTTCAAATTGGATTCAAAATGGCCGACTGGTGGCCATTTTGTTTTAATCAACATGTTTCTAGAGCCAGTACTCATTTGACGATCGGATACAAGATGACTGAATGTCAATCATTTTAATGTTAAAAAATCATCATAATCAAGCATCAACTTCTGGATTCATATCTCTGACATGTTTATGTTCAAACTAAAAACAAAACCGTTTATCTTAAATTTGATAACTAACAGGGACTGTACCATGCATGGCTTGTTAAATTTTACTATGATCAGTCATGCTATACCAACAATTTATATTAGAGTATCGAATAAACTCAATGGGCATAACTATCTAAGTTTGTTTGGAATAAGCATCCTAAGATGCAAACAAATAGGCAACATAGGGGATCCTAGAGCCCCAAGTGACTAGTTCTAAACTGTTTGACATGTAAATTAGTAGCAATAATTTAGGTCATCCAAATAACCATTGCTAGAAATTCTGTTGACAAGATGTCTATTCCTTCTGAGGACCAGATTACTTCTACACTTTCGTCTCAAACTGTCTTTTTCTAGAATGTTTAGTCCTTACTCAGGGACCATTTTAACGGTTTCATCACAGGGAGCATATTTTATTTTATTTTTGTGAGTGTACATGTATGTATTAAAATATGTACACACATTAAAATTATCAAAACTTCATAAAAATGCGATCATAGTATACAAAATAAAAAAATTATCGGGAGTGATTTTGGATCAGTTAAAAACTAACTGAAATGCTGTGACACTTATTGGTGGTGTGAATAGGCAAGCTAGTTTATAAAATTGTGAGCAAATATTTAATAAATTAAATATCACTGATCGCAAAAGACACCCACCGCGAAGTGTCTTGTAATAATAATAGTAATAATAATAACTACTTTGTTACATCCATAGAAAGAGTGTTTCCCATCAGTTCATAACAACGAAGATGGAATACAAACAACAAATAATGATACGAAAAAAATGTTTTGCAAAGTTGCAACCTATCTTTGCTAACAGTGACTCTCCGAATAATTCTCAAAACCAATAATAAGCCAGTTATAGCGCCCTCTACAGAATATAAGCCCTGTACAGATTATCACTGAAATTATATACGTCACACAGCTCTTTCCTGTACACTAAATGGCGGTGTTGACTGAGACGTGATCTGTTTTGTTTTTTGTAAAGTTCTGTTGCGAACATGGCAGCCAAATTATCAGTTGACAGGATCAATGAAGACCTACTGACATGTCCAGTTTGTTTCGAGCGGTATAAACAACCCAAACTGTTACCATGCCAACATTCGTTCTGTGAGCAGTGTCTGGTGGAATGGACAGACAAACATGGCAGACTGGAGTGTCCCAACTGTAGACAATGTCATAATACTGTGAGTAATATTCAACAACTCCCACCAAGTATGGTAATAAACGCTGTCATATCCATTGTTGAAGAACAAGAAAGAAAGCAAAGTCATGGAACATGCCATGGTTGTCAAGAAAACCCAACTACACATAGGTGCATAGACTGTGCTTTGGATTTGTGTACAACGTGTACCAAAGTCCATAATAAAATGCCGGTGAGTCAGCATCATCGTAGTGTCAGTGTTGTTGAGTTCCAACAAGCAAAATCGATAACATTGCCTACACTCCACTGTACTGCTCATGGAGAGAAGCCCTTTGAACTTTATTGTGAATCATGCCAAGTGGCGATATGTATGTTATGTTTGAGGTCAGAGCACAAAGGTCATGAAGTCGTTGACCTACATGGAGCTGCAGATCAATTCTCTAAGGTGACAACAAATCACCTCAAACTCTTGAAAGCGAAACATAGGGAAATCCAACAAAGCAGAACAAGTGCAGCAAAGCTATCTAAAGAATTAGAAAATCAGCTGAAGCTACGAGAACAACATGTAAAGAAACATACTCAGGAAACCATTGAGAAATTGATTAAAATATTAAAACAGGAAGAGAGAAGTCACCTGAGAAAAATAAATTTGGAGTATAATGGAATAAAAGAAGCGATCAACAGAGAGATACAGCAGTACAACATAAATGAAGAACTATTGTTGAGTACAGTAGCATTCGTAGACAATTTATTACAATATAGCAGCTCTGCACAGCTGATGAACACAAGCAAAGAAACAATGAATCGGCTGGAGATTCTGATGTCACTTAATACAACTTTGGAGGAAAAGGTTGCTGATAACTCACTTCCGCTATTTTATCCCAGTAATATCATACTGCAAGGATCGTTGGGAACTCTTACTGTTAAATCAACTGTTTGTAGACCAGCTGGTTCGTCTGGTTTAAACCAGGACTGCATCATAACAGAACAACCGTGTGAAGAGGTTATGTGCAAAAACGATGATGCTTTCCCAAAAGATCAGAAGCCAAATGACGTAGCAAAGGTACAAGACCAGCATATTGTTGAAAGACCAATTTATTGTAACAGTCATACAACTGCAACACAGACAGGTACATGTGGTGTACACCCACCAATGACTTTAACTAAATTACTTGGGGGACCAGGTAATGAACCTGGGATGTTTGATTACCCATTTGGAGTACAGGTTACTACTCAAAACAAAATTGTAGTTGCGGACTACAGGAACAACAGAGTCCAAATTATCAATCAGTTCGGTAAACCAGAGTTCAGCTTTCCAGTAAAGTCTCAGTCCTACTTGTCATTTGGTAGTCTCCGCAGAGCTGAGCAAAAAATCAGTCCCATGGACGTAGCAGTGTCATTGGACGATAGATATTTCTTCACACATGGAATAGGTGAAAAGCGAGTGATCGTATGTAACAAATTCGGTCGTGAAATACAAGGTTTACAGAATAAAGTGTTAAACCACCCATGTGGTATTGCTATCAATCATAATACTGGTATTGTACATGTGGTTGACAGAGGTTCAAAATGCATAAGACTATACGATGTTCAAGGGTGTGATTACATCACATCAATAGGCCAATTTGAAGACCCACGTTTCATAGCCATTAATAACAAAGGTAACTTGATTGTATCAGATTTTGATTGTATTCACACTCTTACACCTGAGGGTGCCCCCATGTTCACATTCAGGGGTTGTCCAGATGACCAGTTCCAATACCCATTCGGGGTGGCCACTGATAAGAACGATAATATCTACGTATGTGACACAAGCGGACATAGAGTCCAGATGTTCTCAAGTGAAGGTGATTTCATAAGGAATGTATCGAGTGGTAGAGATGCTTTGTCCTTCCCTATCGGTGTAGCAACTACAACTCATGATGAGGTGGTTGTCACTGATAGCACAAATTTTGTTAAAGTATTTTCGCCAAATACTGAATGGTGTAAAAAGTACAAATTATGCAACACAGGTCGAAGAGCATAAGGATCATGCTATAGTGTACCACAGCAGCGTACAACTCCCAGAAGTTAAAATGGAATTCTATTTGCCATACATGAAAGAACACATCAAAAGAACACATTTACAGTCTGTTATTGTTTTCGGTTCACATAATAATACTAATAAATTTATTGCATCCTTTAAAATAGTTTCCATTGACAGCAATGAACTGTTAGTAATAAATACAATACATATAGATACTAAATTAAAATGTCAGTCATTGTTATTTCTGAATTCAAATATTTTGTATAAATATTTACCAGCTTGGCTTATGTCTTTTCTTGAACTTGTAATATATTTAAAATATCTAAACATTACTTTTTAACTTTTTAGGATTACTGATATTATTTAATTACTTATGTCTTTCGGTTTGGTATCATGATGAAATGTTATTCATTTTCAGTTTTGTTTTGGAAACATTGATTTCAGATTCTGTTTTTAAAGGTGTTTTGGGTTGGGTATATCTACCTTTCTCTATCTCTCGTACATGACTTGTTTCTCTGAAATGAGTCATGATTTTGTTTCATAAGGGCAAATATGGTTCAAAATAAGGGGATACTATAAGGACTGTGCATTTAGTAATAATGTAACATTGTAACGGGTCAGTGCCTCTTAAAGCAGGAAAGCACAACTTGTTGTTCAGTATAAGGATGTCTTTTTAACTTTAGTACTTTTAATCAGCATTCATGATTATTCAGGTCCATTTAGGGAGGAATTGTAAAAATAATTTAGACTGTTGTTCTGCCTTTAATAGTTAGCATAGTGATCATGTACCTTCTCAGTTTTGGTGTATAATCTTGGTTAGTTCTTATGCTTATTCAGAAAAATATTGTTGGTTTGATTTTAATCATTGCTAAACCTTTTCACCCTTAGTTCTGTTTATAATCTGCACTTTCCAAAAATAGCCAAGTTTTTTGAGTAAAACTGAAAACTGACTTAAATTTTGTCTGTTGGCTCCAAAATTAGGCTTCATCTCCATAATTATTTAAGAATTTAAAATGTGCAGAATAATTTGGGTGAGAAAGTGGTGGTGAAAAGAGTAAGTGTACAGCCCGATGATGACTGACAAATGTCCATGCAAGATACCTACCAAGTCATCAAAGAAATTGGGCTGGTAGTTTGATATTATTTTTTACCAAAAATGACAGAATATATTTGCTAACAAGCAATGATAATGCAGTCCCAGTGTTTTTGCTGATAGCCGATGCTCAATAAAAGTCACATGTA